CCAAGGGATAGGGGGAGGTCTCTTGTTTCCTGCAGCTGCTTACTGTGGTTTGGGCCATTTCACATCAACCTGCACTTGCTTTGCCAGTGTCTGAAGGTCCTTGGAGTGTGCTTGAGTTCCTAAGGTATTCTGTTGTGTTTAGGGACTTCTGAGAGCTCTTGGGTGCAATATTAAGGTTCTGGGGTTCTGGTGACATTATTGAAATTCAGGGAATGTTGATGAGATTCTGGAGGTGTCCTGGAGACCTGGGGCTCTTGGGGGGGGGTGTTTCTGAGGTTGTGGGGATGCTACTGGCCTTCTCTATTCCTTCCACACAACTCTTAGCTCCTTCTAATCTTAGCATTTTGCCCTTTGAAGATTTTGATAACCACAGCCAGCTGAAGGCAGGCACGCAGGCCTCTGTTCCTTGACACAAACATTCCTCAGGTTTAATCAACTTGAACAAAAACATGGAGAGGAAGGAAGCCCGGTCCCAAGGCCTTCACAGGCCAACTCCAGCCCAAAGGGCAGGGCAGCTCTGTGCCAGGCCAAGGTGGCAGATGACCTTCATGGGCTCATAGTCCAGAAGTTTGGACTTCCTCCCACAGTGGGCAGGGCTTAACCACCCCCATCCAAGTCCACCCTGAGTCCTGCTGGCCCCAGCTGCTCCTGGGACATTGACATCAGCTCCATCTGAGTATGCCCACAGGGGCCCATTGCTGGTCTCAGCAGGAGGCCAGCCCTCCCCTTGCCTCTGAAGGGCTCTCTCCAGGCCTCTCCTCTGCCTCTTCTGGCTCTCCTAAGACAGACTTCATTCTTGCTACCATTTCTGGCCCTCTCTGGCCTCAGGGTTTTGCTCCACGCCCTTCCTCCAGGAAGCCCCCAAGATCATGTAGGCTGTCACCTTCCTCCCTCTTCCTCCCTCTCTGGGCCTCTACAGTTCTGTTTCCGAGTTCCTCTGCTCTGCAGCCTCTCCTCTCCTGATGGCAAGGCTGGCCTAGGATTCTCCTGGGTATCAATGTTCGTGTGCAACCCACCCCTGAGGGCAGGCCTGCTCCCCGGGCCTTTGGAGAAATCCTTCAGTGGTGCATCTTACCCTTTTCCTGTCCCCAGTGCTTCTCCTGTAGTCTGGCCAGATGACCTCTTTCCAAACATCTCAGAGCCAGCCAGCCCTCTCCTTTGCAGCTCCAAGCATTCCCGAGCTCCAAGCTGTTCTGCCCCCAGGCTGAAGAATTACTTTGGGCTCAAGAAATGGGGTCTTTATCAAGCTGAAGCTGTGTAGCCACCCAGTACCCATGATCTATCCCATGCCCCTGCCAGAGTGGGTGTGGGAGCTGGAGGCCAGGTGGGTCGAAAGGCTATGAAGTCACAGCCAGCCTCTGTGGCTTTGATCTGCTTGCTATAACCAGTATCTGATGTGCTGGATACACATTCTTGGGCCGTGAAGTCACTGAGGGCAGGGGGTGGGGACCTTGGGGAGGAGAACCCACAACAGAAGAGTCTGTAGGCTGGAGCAGACAGAGGTGGGGCCATGACCTGAGAAGGGAAGGGACTCACTCAAAGCCTCAGGGCCAGCTCCAGGGTTCAAACTCAGGTAGGCTACCTTACCAACTGGCATTTCCTACCCCACCTACCTTCCCACGCTCCTTCCCATTTCCAGCTCAGCCTGGCCCATGGTAGTTGTACCATACTACCAATGAAGATGTCCTCTGCCAGCTGGGCCCATATCAGGGCAGAAGGATAAAGCTCATCTTTTCCTCACCTCTGCATAGGGCTTCCCTGAAGGTGACTTCTGTGTCTCCCCAGTGAAGACGAAGGTGGTATCATAGAACCTGGGCTGTGGAGGTGGAACAGGGAAGGGCAGTGTCCACAGTAGTCCTTTAGGGGGAACAGGTTTGATCCAGGGAAGTGGGAGAGGGACAGTGCCTGGGCTCTCCTGGGGCAAACCTGGTGCACCCCTGATGCTGATAGAGGCTCAGCAGAGGCTCCTTCAGGTAGCCTGATGGGGTCCCTGCATCCCTTCAGGTACAAGCTAAATACCATCTCCTCAGTGAAGCCTTCCCTGACCACCTGATCCAGAACAGCCAGCTCCTCTCTCTCTGCCTCTCTTCTCTTTCCCTGACTTATTTTCCCTCTCAGCACACCCCTGCCCCTGCCATTATATGTTAAGTTCCTTGAGGGGCAGGACTTGCCCTGTGCTGTATCATTAGCCCCAAGGATACAACCTGGCACATATTTGTTGAGTGAACAAATGAGCCTGGAAGACAGAGTCTGGCTCCCTCCAGGGCAGGACAAGGTTCTGGCCAACTGCACGTCTCTGCCTCAGGCAGGGAGGGCGTTCCCTCTCTGGAATTAACCTCCAATTGTTGGAGGTATCAAGAGGGGGATTAAAGATCAGATAGGAACTGGGCGCAATGGCGCACACCTATAATCCCAGCAGATCAGGAGGCTGAGTCAGGAGGATCACGAGTTCAAAGCCAGCCTCAGCAATGGTGAGCTGCTTAGCAACTCAGTGAGACCCTGTTTCTAAACAAAATACAAAATAGGGCTGGATGTGGCTCAGTAGTTGAGTGTCCCTGAGTTCGATCCTGGGTACCAAAAAAAAAAAAAAAATTCAGACAGCAGCTGATTGCTCCCTAAGCTCAGATCTTTGAGTGGTGAAGGGCATGTCGGGCTTTGATATTGAGCAGAGGCCTCTGGAAAGCCCAGCAGGTGAACCCCAGGGCACAACAGGACAGGCCCACGGTTGAATGTTGGTCACTAGAACAAGCAATGGCTTCACGAATCTCAATTTCTAAAGCCCCTTGAGCCCCACAGCCAGGCATTGTGCATCAGGAAGGGAAGAAGAGGCAGGGATTCTGCCCTCTGGGAGCCCACTCCCAGGCTGAAGAGGCATGATTCACCTGAGAACCTGGGATCTGAGGGCCAAGGGCCATCATGGCTCCTGTACTGCATTAAGCTCAGGTTCAGTTCTAAGTCAGCTGATCTCTCTGTGGGACGGAAGGGAGGTCAGAGCCCCTTTCCTGGAAGAGTGGCTGTTTGGGAAGGAGGCGGAGGAATGAGTCTACCAGAGCTCAGGCCCTAATCCTGCCTTGTGGGCCTGGCTCAGGAACATGGGGGGGTGAGGACGCTGAGGACTTCAAGGCCTTCTACTCTGAGATTCACTCAGGCTGTTCCCCACGTAGGGACCACACTTTTGACTGCCCCACCCCTTCCTCAGCCCAGCTGGCTTTCCTAACTCCTGATCTTCACCCAAAGGATTTTCTTCAGGAATCCTTCCCACCCCCAATTCCCCAACCAAATTGGTTTTCCCAGGATATAACCAGGGCACCTGTGCCTTCCCTCTGCAACCCTCTGCTCCTAAGGCTATTTTTTTTTTTTTTTGGTTCAGGGGATTGAACTCAGGGGTACTCAACCACTGAGCCACATCCCCAGCCCTATTTTGTATTTTATTTAGAGACAGGGTCTCACTAAGTTGCTTAGTGCCTCACCATTCCTGAGGCTGGCTTTGAACTCACAATTCTCCTGTTTCAGCCTCCTGGGCCAAGCCCTGGGATTACAAGCACAGTGCCTAGCCTAGGGCTATTTTATACTGGTCTGGGCCCTCTACCCCCAAAATACTGTTCCCAGGGAACAGTGCTGGCACATTGAAAGAATAAACACACTTTTTTTGAGGGGGGGAGTCTACTGGTAGTAAACTCAGGGGCACTTTACCATTGAACTATACCTCCAGCCCTTTTTATTTTATTTTGAGGTGGGTTCTCCCTACATTGCTGAGGCTGGCCTTGAACCTGTGACTCTTCTGCCTCAGCCTCCCTAGTTGCCAACAGATTACAGGTTTATGGCACCATGCCCTGCAACAAATGAATGTCTTTTTTTTTTTTTTAAGCTTCTTTACTGAATACCTAGCTGGGTAGGCAAGGCCTGAGCCCCTTGGAAAGACAGGGACCCTCTAAGTTTCAGGGCCCCGAACCCCACCCAGGAGCAGTGGCTGAGCACAGTTCTCTGCCTGTCTGCAATTCGCCCCTCCCTGCGGGCTGGGCCAGGGAGAGGAGGGGAGGCAGCAAGAGGTCCAGCTTCTCAGGGGAGGAGGACCAGAGGAACCCTCACCCTGGGCCCTGGAGAAGCAGCAGGCAGGCGGGGCGCTCCTTGCCTGTCCCTGGATCTGGTTCGTGTTTAAAGGACTCATTTCCGCCTATGCGGGTGAGTTATCTTCTTGTGAAATCAAGTTGTAGGAACAAAAAGGTTTTATCAGTGAAACACATGAGGCCTTCTTCATGGAAATCCCAGCAGCAGGCATGGACGGGGCCCTCTCCCTGAATCTGCTGGCCAGCCCCATCTGTGGGTTGCCACAGTGCTGGGCTCTGCGAATGTGGCAGGCAAAAATGTGGGGGCTCCGGGGCAGGCGCTGAAGGCAGGTACGTGTGCATGCACAACCAGGTGCCGCCCTCCAGGCTGCACCCCTCCAGGGCAAGGGGACCACGGTGCTGGGACCTCCTCCCAGGAGGGGGCTTTGTCTGGATTCTGTGTACCCCCATTACTGAGGCACAAGTGGTGAGAGAGGGCCAAGCTGGGGCTGGGGGATGGTCTCCAGAGAGCCTGGGCAAAGTGAGGGAGGCTTGGGCTGGACCCCTAGAGCAGAAGGGGTGGGAACCCAGCTGGGAGGGCCTGACCCAATGGAGCCTCCTGCAGCCCGCCCAGCCTTTCATCTCTGCACTCCTTTCTCCTGGTCCTCCCTTCTGCTTGTCTGTGGGTCCGTCTAGGTGGGCTGGGAGGAGAAGGAAAGGGGTCTCCATGGGCAGCTTGGGCTGAATGGGAAAATCTCTGAGAACGGTCCTTTGAGCTGAGGTCAGCTGATGGCCGTTCAGCAGCCAGATAGGTCCTCCAGTGAGAGCCCATGGACCCTGAGGGGGTACACTAAGATAACTACAGGGTGGGGCAAGATGGGGCGGGAATGGACAGGAGGGGACACGAGAGGCCCTTCCCCTCCTCCTGGGCCAGCCTTCCTAGCCTGCAGTCCCAGGGCTTTTCCCAGAGAGCTAAAAGCAAGAAAGTAACCTTTAGGATTAAAAAGAAATGTTTCTTTGTTAGGATTTTCTTTTTTTCCCTTTAAGCTTCTTTTCACATTTGTAGAGGATTTTTTTTTCTCTTGTCTGGGGGTCAAAGGAGAAGGGCCCAAGAATGTCGTCCCAGGCGGCAGGGAACCAGACTTCATTCTTGGGGGCAACAGATGACTACTACAACAGCTGGTACATCGATGAGCCCCAGGGGGACAAGGACCTCCAGCCAGAGGGGTGAGTGTGCCACCCCTGGCTCTGTCAGCCATCAGAGTTGGGTGTGGCAGAGGTTACCAACTGGTGTGTGTGTGGTGGGGGGACAGAACCTGGGCAGGAGCTGCTAAGAACTGGTTCAGCCACTCATTCACTGTGTGACCCTTAGGCAAGTCATAGCCTCTCTGGGCTTGTTTCTGTATCTGATACTTGAGAACACTAGCCCTTGGCCTGCTGTTAAGATACTTGAAGTCGGAGGACCTGGTCAATCTGAAAAGCACTGTGTGATGTGTTAAAAAGACAGATTCCCCGCCCATCCTTGCAGGTTCAGCTCTAGCAGGTCTGGGCTGCTCCCTGGGTGATCTGGCCTGTATCTGGGATGGGGAAGCAATTGAGGGGTTACTGGTCTCTGTGGTGAGGACTTGGGGTGTGGTGTTTATAAGCCTCAGGTTCTTGGAGCAGGCTGGGAGAAGTGGGGGAGGCAGATAACTGGAACCAAAGTCTAGGGGAAAGTCACTGAGGGAGGGACCCTGTGGCCCATTGTCTTAGATGGCTTAGTCTAAGGAGGGAGGATGAGGAGGCTCTGTTTTCTGTAGCAAGAGTGCTCCAGCCAAGCCAGGGAGGGTGCGAACAGAGGGAGGGAGCAGCCAGCCCACCCCGGGGTGGCCCAAGGACTCTTGGCCCAGACCCTTTCTATCTTTGTTTAGTCTGCCCACTCTGGCAGAGGAATTGGGCCTCTCTGTGACCCCAACTGCTGCCTCTGTGGGACCCCAGCTCAGCCCCCCTGCCCTTGTTGTTCCTGGCCCTGGCCCTTCCCCTGCCTCCCTCCTCTGTCTGAGGGTTTCAGGAACTGGAAAGGTGAAGGGAGTGGGGTGCTGAACCAGATGTGTGCACATCTGTTCTCCATTAAAATTTGAAACTAGAGAAGGAAACATGCTCTTGTGCCTCCCCTGGGGGGCTGAGGCCGTGCCCTGACCAGGCTTGGGTCACTCAGCAGGGACAGAGTCCCCACCTGGGCCTGGGGGAAGGAGCCATGCTTTGAAGGACTCCAGCGGGGTTCTGACACCTGGAAAACAGCCCTGATCTGGGCAAGGGTATGCCCCACTCATCTTCCCTGACTGCCATTGAGAGTGCAGGGCTCTTATGCATGGGCTGGGGGAGGGGCTAGGAAACCCTTGAGGACTCAGATCGAGCCTGGGGTTAGGTACTAATCAGAGGAATGCTAGGACATTGCCTCCTTGGGAGCACCAGGGCCTGGGCATTGGCGAAGGGCCAGGCGCCTGCAACCAGTACGGTGCTTGGCATATTTAGATACAGTCTCAGAATAAAGTCCCGGCATGGTAGGGACTGGGTGATGGCGACTGCTGCCTGTCACATGTTTGGCACTTGGGATTTGTAGCTCCCTTCTCCCACGGTCAAACATGGAACCTATAAGAATAAAGAAGAGTATTTGAATCTACTTATGCAGTAAAAGCAAGTCTAGATATTTTCCATCTCCCTTCCCCACCCCCATCCCCCTTCCCTGAAAGCTGGGAGCAGGAAGCTGGGCACAGGGGAAACCCATGGAGATGAACTTGGATTCACCTCTCCATGCGTGAGTCACACCCCAGGGAAATGGTGCACAAAAGCCATGAGGAGCTCTGATGGCAGCTTCCCTGTGCCCTCACTGTGACCAGCACAACAGGCTGGAGTTGGGGTTGGTGGGCACTGGTGACAGTGGCCCAGATGGACTCAGCCTCAGAAATATCCTAAGCTCCAGACACCCTCAATGGCTTCCCAGGGCCTCCTGTGCCTGCTCTAACCTGGTCTCACCTTCTGGGCTGCCAACAAACTGAAAGACTAGCCTGGGGCCAGTCACACCCTCTCTGCCTGTCACTGCTTCCTCAGGTTGTCCTTTCAACAGAGCTTCCTTTTCCCTTCTTTGCCTAAAAAGCTGTTAACCAGATTTCAAACTCAAATCCAACCCCATTTCTGTGGCCTCTCTATGCATGGAGCTTCCCACCTCCCATGTGACTCCTGTGTGATGTCTGTGTCATCCTGCCTTCCCATGACACAAAACACAAGTCCTCGAGCCATCACCCAAATGTGTGCTAAGGTGATGGGGACTGCTGCCTGTCACATGTGTGGCACTTGGAATTTGAATGAGGGGTCAGGGGGACCACAGAGGACAGAGAAAGGGCCAGATGTTCTCCCAGACAGTGCCCTGAAGGGGATTCCCAGGGCGGAGGTGGCTTCTCATTTGGGGGCGGGGTTTGCTGGAAAATGGCAATGCTGCTCCTGGACAGTGTGCCCGGTCTCTGTCCTGGCTGGACCTCGGAGAACAGGGTGTGGCAGGAGCGGGCCACCTGGTGGGGGGTAGTGCAGACAGAAGGGCTGAGTGGTAGTCCTGAGCTCTGAGCCCAAGCCCACCCCCACACCTGAGTGTGCCAAGGAAGAGGTGGGAGAGGAGAGGTCAAAGCCCAGCTCAGTGATGAGAACCTGATTCCCTACCTGGCCCACCTCAACCCGTGTTTGGGGAAGATGCCACCTCTGCCCTAGGCAAGAAGTGGCAAAGAACAGACTTCTTCAGTCCCCACACCCCAAGGACAAGCCCAAGGACCAGTTTCTTTTCCACTGCTTACCCTCTGGAATTTCCTGAAAGAAAGCAAGCTGGAGAGAGAAGGCACCCCTCAGAGGGTCCCAGGGCTCTGCACTCACCCCAGGAGATGAGGAGGCCTTGATCCTCTTTTCTGTGCAGCAGGAGGGTACCTGAGCTTTCTGAACAGGGACAGCCCTTGTAACCAGTCCTCCTAGAGCATCCACTCAGGTGTCCTCCCTCAGGCTCCCAGGCTCCAGCTGGGCTACCTGGAGGCCACCTTGACCCAGGGATCCAGCTCCAGCTCCAACTCTAGCTCAGAGCTCTTGCCCTACCTGCTTTCTCTGCTGACTTCACTGATCTCTTTATTGTCACCACAGGCTTCCCTCTGTGCACAGCTACCCTGAGAGCAAGACCTCTGCCAAACCAGAGGGAGCCTTTGTGATGGTTAGATAAATGGCCCCCATTTAGCTGTATTCAGCTCTGTAGGTTCAGGGAGTGGGGGGCAGTGTGGCCTGGATTTCCTGTCACAATTCTGTGGCTGAGCAACCTTGTGCAGCAAGCAACCTGCCAGCTGACAGGAAAAGTGGGTTACCAGGAAAGATCCTTCCAGTCAATTGGAGGTACTACCAAGTAGAGAGCAAATCATAACGATGAAGTGTCTGATCCACGTAGCAGGCCCAATCTCTGTTCTGAGAAGAGGTCTGTGGGGCCAGGAACAGTCATGGAGTCTTCCTGGAGGAGGAGGGAGGAAGCGGGACTTGAAGGATTGGAAGCATCCCGGTGAGCAAGAAAGATGCTCTGGCTGAACTGGTGCCCGCTGTTTCCTCCCGGGAGACTCCTGACTCTTGCTCTGTCACTCCAGAGCTTAGCACCCGGCCAGCATACCATGGGGGGAGCAGAAGGTGGAGGAAAGTTCTAGGTGGAGCCTCAGTGTAGATAGCCTCCAACCCCAGGCCCAGCTGCACACTGATGGAGTCTTGCCAGGCCTGAGCCCACCTTCCTTTGCTCTGTAGGGCTGTGCCTTCCTGTGACCCCAGTGTGCCACCTGGCCTGTTCCATGCCTGCCTGGCCTCGCTGTCGGTGAGTCCAATCTGGCTTGCAGTCTGCTGCCAGTCTTGGCAGAGGGACTTGTATCTCTTGTTAGGGAAGATGCAGGGGGATCTGGGAGTCATGGGAAGGGTCTGGGAGTTTCGCCCAGGTAGGGGTCCAAATCAGGATTCAGGCCATGTCCAACCTGTCAGACTTCTGTCACCTCTTGGCCACTCCCCAAGATGCTACATGAGGGTGTACTGGGTAAGTGGGAGGTGTTCTGGGACTAACTGAACTCAGACTCAGACCCTTGGGGACAGCCTGGGCACCCCAAGCATCTTCTGAACTCTCCTTTCAGATCCTCGTGCTGCTGCTGCTGGCTGTGCTGGTGAGGCGCCACTGCCTCTGGCCTGGCTGTGGGCATGGCAGGCCCAGACTGCCCAGGTTGGTTCCTGGGGCCTGGATCCCTCCACTCAGGGGGCCTGACTGACAGGGCCCTCTGGGTGAGGAGGTGACTGGTTGGGTATCTAAAAGCCAACTCTGACTTCAGAGATACCCCCACTTCTCTGTCTGGGCTTTCTCCACCCCCACCCAGGTCTCCTAGGTTAATCAGGAACCCCAGAGGGAGGGGAGGGACTCATTCAGCTCCCTTTGCTTCTGCTGTGCCAAAATTGGGGTAAAAGTCTCCAGGGAACACAAGTCCTCTCACATAGGCCCCAGGGTCTGGACTGGTCACAGCCACCTAATGCTATCTTGACCATCATTTCTCCTGAGAGTCTGGCCTCGAGCTGGAGGTCATTGCTGAGGGTCTGGCCTCCAGCTGGAACTTTCTCATTCAGCCCTGCAACCCAGAGCCTGGGTCAGGCATGACACTGAGGAGATGGGACTGGGCAGACTGGTGTAGGAGACACCAACGCGTTGGGGGAGTGGCGGGTGGAACCCGGATGTAGACAGCTTTGTACCCTAGACCTGGGTTGCACATCGAGATGGGTACTGCTGTGCTGGCTTTGTGGTGAGCCACTTGAGGTCTCTGGCTGACCCAGGACAGAGCTTGCCTGGTCTGGGAGAGGGCTCAGAGAGGATGAGCCTCATGAGGGCAAGGTGGAATAGAGAAGCAGAAGGTCTGGGTGGCCTGCCCTGAGCCCACAGGGTTGACAATTAGGACATCTGGGCCTGCTGTCTGCCCTGTACCCTGGGACACACCCAGCCAGGGTGGGGGCTGTTCCACAAGGATGCAGTGATTCACCGTGTTCTCCAAAGATCTGCCCTCCCAGCAGACATCAGCAGACATCAGTTAATGTGGAGGTATTTGGTGCTTGCTCCCACTGGGTGTACGTCCCTCTGCCATAGCACCCAGAACTGGTAGATAGGAGGTACTCATAGACATTTATAGAATGAATGAATAATAAACAAGCCTCATTCCTCAGTTTTCCGGTCTGGGAAACGGGACTGACTCTACCACATTATTTATGGAACACAGTTGGAGGCAATGGGGGTATAGGGGCTGAGCAAGCCCTCCTGTTCTTCCCTGTCTTTGTGTCAGCCCTGTGGATTTCTTGGCTGGGGACAGACCCCAGACAGTGCCTGCTGCTGTCTTCATGGTCCTCTTCAGCTCCCTGTGTTTGCTGCTCTCTGACGAGGACCCGCTGCCCTTCCTGACCCTTGCCTCACTGCCCAACTCAGGTACCCAGCGCAGCCGTGGCCTGAGGCTGGCTTGATGGGATGGGGCAGGGTGGGGTCCAGGGGTATTAAGCTTGGCTCAGGAGGTGATGGTAACCAGAGCAGTTGTCATTGGGAGGAGCCTTTGCTCCTTGGCGTGACCTCTTTAGATCAGCAGACCCCACGAAGTGTGGACATGAGCCCCATTTTGCAGTGGAGGGAACTGAGAGTGAGAGAAAGAAGCAACAACAAAGTTCAACCTTAATTCCTCAAGAACTTACTCAGGTGCTGGGCTAAGCACTGTGCACAGATCTTCTCCTTTTTGTTGCTAGACTGTGATTCTTTCCACAGAGGGGAAGCCAAGACTCCAAGAGGTAACTTGCCCCAGATCACAGCTGATGCCTAGTCAGAGCCTGGGTTTGAGCTCCGAGCTCTTGCCCACTGAAGCAGCTGAGGGCTTGGAAGATGGAGATGGGAGAAAGGTCTGGGTGGGCACCACTCAGGCCCCATGTCTGCCCCCATCACGTGTCTCTCCACCTCTTTCACCTTCCAGAGTCCTGGAAGATTCTGGCCCTGCTCTATTATCCCGTTCTCTACTACCCTTTGGCTGCCTGTGCCGTGGCCGGGCCCAGAGTTGCATACCTGCTTGGCAGCGCACTGTCCTGGGCTCACTTTAGCATCCAGGTCTGGCAGAGGGCAGAGTGTCCCCAGAAGCCCAAGGTAACCACTGACTCACCACTGCCTGGGGCAGGGGATACACGGGAGGAGCCTACTTCGACCTGCGAGGCTCCTTTCATCTCTGCTTACACACTGGGCTTCTCTGCCTCCTTCCGATATGCACGGGATTCTGGACCTTTCAACATGTGCCTGTGCCAGACTGGCTTTTCCAGGGGTGGGACAGGGGACAAGGCAGCAGGGCCCTGCCCTCAGCAGCTTCCAGGACAGGAGGGGGCAGAGGAAGAAGAGAAAGCCAGCCACGCCCCATCAATCCCTAGGTTGGGCTGGAGTGGGAACAGAAGTGAAGAGAGATGGAGGATGGCAAGTGCCCAGTCAGGGGATGGTTTCAGGGGCTAGAGAGAATTCTAGAACCTCAGAAACTGGTTCCCTGGCTGCTGGTCAGGACTGTGAAGCTGCCCAGTCTTCCTCATTCAACAAACATATCTGAAGCACGTACTCTGGACAGGGGCATCTCCAGGCACTGGAACAGCTATGAACAAGACAAGCCAAGTCCCTGGACTCCAAAGAGCTGTTGTTCTAGAAGGAGACACAATAAATAGATAAGCAGGTGACTTGAGGAAACTGTTACCTCTCTGAGACTCAGTTTCCCCACCTGTAAATGGAGTTGATAGCACAATCCTTTGGATAGGTGAAGATTAGGAGGTTTCTTTGAGAGGAGGGACTTGGTGGGTCTTTTTCACTACCTAGAGCCTGGCACACACTAAGTTCTCAATAAAAAGACATTGAATTAACCAACAAATGAATGAATACATGAGGAGCCCAACCCAGAAAGGCCTCAGCCCCTGGAGGCAGAGCATGGGCTTCTTGATGCCCAGGTGGCCAACTACATACTGAAGAAATTAGGCCTTTGTCCTGTTTTCAGGGGCCTGTTTCCTGACATGCCTGGAACATGGGAACCTAGAGAGTGGGTATCCTCCATTCAGGGCTCACTGCCCCTGGGGATGGACCAGGGGCCATTAACCTCCCTTTGGCTCCTCCCAGGCCAGATACTCCTCCCAGGAGCATCTTTACAGGGCCTGAAAGGGTGAAGTGGGCATGTTGGTGAAGGGTGGCCCAAGTTGGGGGCCCATAGAACCGGAAGCCTTCTCATGGCCCTCCAGAGCATCGGAGAGGGAAACGGATTCTAGTTATTGGTGGGGGAAGAAAGCAGAAGTAGGTCTATCTGAGTGTCTGTGTATCTGCCCAGATTTATAAGTACTACTCGCTGCTGGCCTCCCTGCCTCTTCTGCTGGGCCTTGGATTCCTGAGCCTGTGGTACCCGGTGCAACTGGTGCGAAGCTTCAGCCACAGGACGGGAGCAGGCTCCAAGGTGAAGGGACAGGGCAGGGCTGGGCTGGTTCCTACTTAGCACCCAGTACATCAGTCTCTCCCATGTCTGTGGTCCCCCCATACATAGCCATGCTTGGTATGAGGCATGTAATAAGTGCTCAGAAAATGTTTTCTGAGTCACTGGGTGACTGCTTAGTGGCTGCACCTTTGATCAGCACCCAGGGTACCTGGGGCACTGGGCTGTGTGCACAGCAGGAATTCAACAAAGGATAACTGGGTCAGAAAACAGGAAGTTCTGGCTTCATCTTTGAAACTGGGCCCATCTCTGCCCAGAACTCAGGATGAGGCCATTCCAGGGCAGATCCCACCTCAACTGAGATGGGCCAGGAGACTTGAGCCTTCTGGGATGCTGAAATGACTCACAAAGTATCCAGAGCAGAACTGCATTACAGATCAATGCTATGTTGGATACTGTTGGATGATGTGAGATGCAGAAGAGGTCTGGGAGGGCTTCTTGAAGGGGGTGGATTTTAGCAAGAGGCCTGAAGGACAAGGAGGGTGTGGAGTGGGGAGACTAAGGAGCGGGCACAGCAGGCATGAGAAGGAGCATGAGTAAGGGGACTGAGAGGTGTGTGTCTATTTTGTTTGTGTCTACCCTGGCAGCATGGAACAGGTTGTAGCACATAATAGATACTCAGCTAACATTTTTTAATTTTTGGATGGATGGATAGATACATCTTGTGAGAGAGAATTCTTGAAAGCTATTGCAATCTTCTTAAGAAACACCTTCTACATGTCAGGCCTTGGGCTAAGTGCTAGGGCCTTCGAGCTGACTGATCCTTGCTGGGCCTCCAGGAGCCTCCCTATGGGGGGAGATGGGTGCAGTGTGAGTGAAATGTGCACGGGGCTCCTCCAGCTGCCGTTGGAACACAGGCACAGGCGGGGTCAAGTGGCTTATACATGGGAGAAGGAACGAACACTCCAGAGGCCCTCAAAGGGGCAGAGGCAGATTATAGAAAGGCTGAGGAGGAATGGGGAGTGAGGAGAGGCCAGGTGGGTCCGCTTGCCAGGGCAGCCCTCTGGTCCCAATGGCCCCAGCCTCTTGGTTGGGCTTCTGCATGTCAGGGGAACATCTCTCCGTTGGGAGCCCCTTCTCTCCTCTCCCTCCATGGAAACCTCTCTGCCAAAGCTTGAAAGAAATAAAATCCTCTTTGGACTTTGGTCAAAGAGATTTAAGCCACAAAGGACCCAGTCAAGCTTTGAGCTGACCCACTCCAGCCCTAGGTCCTGGGGTTGCTATAGCAACAGGTGACCGTGGCCTGTTTTCTCCCAGTGATCCAGGGCAGTGGCTAACCTCATGCTCCCATGGGCTTCTGCCACTTTGCAGGCAGCTTAAGTCCTGGAATGTGGCTTAGGCAAATCTGATCACCCTTGTGATGTCCCTTGAGTGGGAGGAGAAGCCTGAGGGATCTGCCCTGGAATGGCCTCATCCTGAGTTCTGGGCAGAGATGGGCCCAAGGGACACAGGCTTTCCTTTACCCCAGTTGCTGGGGTGGGGGAAGGGAAGCAGTGAGTAAAGCAGGAGAGAGTTGGAGTTAGATTGTAGGAAGAACAGCATTGAGGGGAGAATTCCTTGCCAGGAAGGGGACACTTTTGCAGGTCATGGACCTTATTCCCCAAGGTCACAGGTCACCGTCTCCACACTCCACTATCACCACCACAGCCAGGTATTTATGGGGACCTACTTGGTGTCCACTCTGGTGCCCTAAGCCAGGGCCCCCGGGATGGCTCAAGGCAGGTCTCATCTGCTCCCCACTTCCCTGTCTCCACAGGGGCTGCAGAGCAGCCGCTCTGAGGAGTATCTGAGGAGTCTTCTTTGCCAAAAGAAGCAGGAAAGCCGGTGAGGTCCCAGGCAAGCGGAATGGCGGGCAGGGCTGCTGGGCAGCCGTGTTTGGGAGGCTGGTGCACAGTGGGGACAGAGGTGAGGAGTGACCAGGCTCTGCAGCTTGGTCTTGGGGCTGGGGCTTTACCTGGGGCCTCCCCTGCCTGCCTGGGTCTTTGCAGCTCCTGTCCTACCTCCAAGCATGGCTTCCTGTCCCGGGCCTGGAGCTGCTGCCAACGCTACACCTACACTCCACAGCCAGGTACCGAGCATCTGACGCTGAGTGACAGGTGTCCTCACTTCTCTTTGCCCAGAAGCAGCAGTGGAGGGCTGGCTCCTGCTCCCCTGCTCCCTTGTCACCAGGAGAAGACAACTGCCAGCTTGGGACAAGGGGAAGATCCTGGCCTGGCCTTGGTGGCCCAGGGTCTTATGAGCTCCGTCCCTTTTCCTGGGCCCCTTGGGAGGGATGGGGCCCTGGAGCCTTAGTGGTGCTGTTCACCATACCCCTTCTTTTGGATTCTGCAGGATTCCGCCTCCCCTTGAAGTTAGTGATCTCAGCCACCTTGACAGGGACAGCCATTTACCAGGTATGTCCTACATCCTGTAGTGACCCTTGAATCCCCAATCCTGGAATAGCTCAGGCCCAACTCAGCTCTCCAGATGCCCACCCATGGTCCTGTCCAGCTGCTTCTGGCCATCTTGGGAATGCTGGCCCAGAAGGGCAGGGTGTCAGCCCTTGTTGGGCTCGTATAGCAACTCAGAGCATGAGTTTTGGAGTCACATAAAAATGGATTTAAATCCTACCTCCATTATTTGCTTCCTGTGTGACCTTGAACAAGCCATTCAACCTCTCTGAGCCTGTTACTTCGTCTATAAAATGGAAGAAATAGAATCATTTTTCTCTTTGGTTAGTTGAGAAAATTCAGTGAGACCATATGTTTGATGAATCCTCACTACCACCACCACCAGCCCCACTCACCCCCCAAAAAAACCCAAAACAAAATCCTGGAAGGTAGGTATGATTTCTCTCCATTTTGTAGATAGGGGAAGTTGAGGCTCAGAGACTTTGACTCGGTCAAATTCCTACAAGTAATTTATCTTAGAGTTGCTAAAATCTGAATCTGGGTATTTCTAGATTAAATGTTAATGCTCATTGCTTTGCCCAACATGAAAAAATTAGAAATTTTATATTCTAAAGTTTAGAATATAAAGGCCCTAGATTGATAGGTAATAGACAGGCAGAGGTGTAGGGATGCATTATGCTTCCTGGGGGACCTGCCAGGCCACTGAGGTGTCCGTAACATACTGTGTAGAGGGGTGCGGTCCCTGCTCTAAGGTGTGGATAGGATACTCCGATGGTCTCCAGGCCTGTGCTGTAGCTAGCCTGCTGCCACAGTCCCCTCTGAAGTCCCCTTGCTTGCACAGGAAACACTTTCTGGGTGGGATACCTGGTGTGGCACAGCCAGGCCTTGGCATCCTCACTGTGGGGCCTTCCCAGGTGGCCCTGCTGTTGCTGGTGAGCGTGGTTCCTACCATGCAGAAGGTGAGGGCAGGTATCACTACGGATGTCTCCTACTTGCTGGCTGGCTTTGGGATCGTGCTCTCTGAGGACAGGCAGGAGGTGGTGGAGCTAGTGAAGCACCATCTGTGGGCTCTGGAAGGTGAGTCTCCCCTCCTCAGGAGCCCCGAAGCCACAGAGGGGCCAGGAGCTAGAATAGGGTCCCAGCCTGCCACAGATATCCTGGGGGTCCTTGGTCACCTTCCTTCCCCTCTCTGGGCCTCCACTGCCTTGTCTCCAAGTGGGGGCAGTTGAAGTTTCCAGTGCCAAGTTTCTGAGACTTAAAGAGACCTGTCTCAGCAGCCCCCTGCCCCTGCCCCCAGCTCCTGGGTCTTTGACCCATTCTGCAGATGTGGTGACAGAGAAGGGTGGCAAGTGTGAGCTGAGGGAGGGGAGGGAGGAAAGGAGGCAGTGATGTGGGGCAGTGGGCCAGGATTTCTGGGATAACCCATGCCAGGGGATGGGGTTGGGCAGGGTACCCGTTTTCTCTCCCAGTCCCTGTCTGCTCAGGCCATCTCCTCTCCTTGCCTCCCCTGAAATGAGACCCCAAGCCAGGGAATGGTAGATGCCACCTGGAGTCCTATTCCTGCAGTTACCTCCCCACCCCACCTCCCAGGCCCTCCCCACACCTCCCAGGCTTCCCCACACAGTCTCCACTGGGCACATGAAGAAAGGCTGGCCTACGGCTATGCGGCGGGGCAGAGTGGAGCCAGGGAGCAATGCAGGTCGCCTGGAGCCCAGGGGCTCTTTCCATCACCATGAGATAAGTCTGGAGATCAAGAGTCCTAGGGCCTACACCCTTGGCTCATTTGAGGGCCCCTAATAATGGGCACCCTGCTTCTGGGGAGTAACCCGTGGTAGTTGGAGCAGAGGCTGCCAGCATTGTAGGCTGCTCTGCAGCTTTCCCGACCATGAACATCATCCTGTCCCACAGACCAAGGCAAGCTGGCAATGCCAAATGGCAGGAAGTGGGGCGTAGAGTGGGGAAGAGGCAGAGGTGTGCCCAGTGACCTCCTCCTTCCCTGCCCACCCTTCCCACCGCGTGCTTAAAGGCCTCAGCTCCCACACTGGAGGCTGCCTGGGAACTGCTGCCGAGGCCCACAAGCTGGACAGGTGACAGGTTTGAAGAGGGCTGTGACCTGGGTCACAGGGAGGTACAGATATGGCCTAGCTATGCCCACATCCAAGCTCTGATCCTTACTTGCAGTGGCCCTGTTGGATCGCATGAGTGATCCTGGTTCATAGAACAGGAAACTGAGGCTCTCAGGTAAGAAGTAAAGTGCCCAGGGCAGTGAGTCTTCTTACCACACCTTGCATTTACAGTTGTATGTTCCAGTTTCTAAGCTCAAATATTCACTTTGGATCTTTTTGGAAGTGGGGGCCAAACAAAGCAGCATTTACTCTCCTAGTTTAAGGATAAGGAAAACCGAGGCCCAGGAGGGATTAGAGATATGCCCAAAGCCATTTAGCAATCTAGTTGTGGAACTGAGGTTAGAGCTGGGCTTGGAGCCTTTGGTCTGTTTTTCTTTTGTACCAGGGATTGAACCCAGGTGCACTTGACCACTGAGCCACATCCCCAGCTCTTTTTTATATTTAGAGACAGGGCCTCACGAAGTTGCTGAGGCTGGCTTTGAACCCATGATCCTCCTGCCTCAGCCTCCTGATCCACTGGGATTACATGCTTATGCCACTGCACCCAGCATCCTTTGGTCTGTTCTTAAGCTAAGAAGCTAATGTCTTCTGAGCTCTTGTGTTGGGGCTGCCCATTGGTGCCTGGGCCATAACTCTGGCATTGTTGACAGAAAGCTTAGACCCTGGGTCAGGCAGGCCAGATTATACTCTCAGTTCCATCGATTACAAACTGTAGGACCTTGGACAAGCTGCTTCACCTCTCCTGGCTTTGACTTCCCTACCTGCAATATGGATGCTGAGGTTAAAAGGGCACCCCTGTCCAGGAGGCCCTTGATTGGTTGAAAAAGATGGATCTGTCCACAAGGAATGTCTAGAGGGGGCAGGTGCAGGATCCCAGCAGCTGCAAAAAGAAGGAAGATTTTCTGGGTGCCAGGGTTTGGAGCAACCCCAAGTCTGGAGCCATTGGAGGGAGAGAGAGAGAAACAGCAGGTGGACAGATGGAGATAAATGGCCAACCCAGCTTTGCCAACCCTTCCCCTCCGTTAGCCTGTTCATTCACTTGATGAGGCTCGGCTGGCAGGTTCCTTCCTCTTGGCAGCAAGTGGTCCAGGATGCCCCTTGCCTGGTGCTCAGTTGGCTCCAAAAGGGGCAATGCAGCAGGCTGGAGCTGTGCATGCCCAGCATTATCTCTCAATCATACTTTGCAGAAAAGTATCCCTGAGGGTATTACAGGGGGAAGCCAGGGACAGACAAAGAGGCTCCTGTTTTTGTAACAGTTGTTCTCAGTCCTAGCTGTATATGAGAATATTTGATAACTTTTTAAAAAGTTTCCCAGATTTGGGGCTGGGGTTGTGGCTCAGCGGTAGAGTGCTTGCCTAGCACGTATGAGGCCTTGGGTTCGATCTTCAGCACCATATAAAAATAAATAAACAAAATAAATGTAAAAAAAAAAAAGTTTCCCACATTTGAAGTCACCACCCCAGATCTACTGAATTGGAGACTCTGAAGGTTGGGCCCAACATCTATGATTCACCCCGCCCAATAATTCTAACACAAGCAAAAGTTTGAGAACCACCATAGAAGGCACCGTTAAGTATTACTTGGTTGATTGGTTCCAATTCATTGCTGCTGGAAGTGTCACACTGGATCCAAGCAGTTGAGTTCTATGTCTAATGAATTTGAGGAATGAAATCCACAGACACCAGGGTGAGAGTAAAGTAACAGGATTTATTAGAGTAATAGAAAGAGGGCCAGGAGTGGTGGCACATGCCTGTAATCCCAGTGACTCCTGAGGCTGAGGCAGGAGGATCACAAGTTTAAAGCCAGTCTCAGGAATTTAGCAAGGCCTTAAGCAACTTAGTGAGGCCTTGTCTCTAAATAAAATACAAAAAGGGCTGGGGGTGTGGCTCAGTGGTTAAGTGCCCCTGGGTTCAATTCCTGAGGAGGAGGAGGAGGAGGAGGAGGAGGAGGAGGAGGAAGAATAGGAAAAAAGCAGAGCTTCCAGAGGGGAGGGTCCCCAAGAGAGGGATGCCAATGGGTGTGTGTTGTCTCAGGGTTTTTAAAGGCATATCTAATGGCCTGGCACAGGTGATCGGTGGGGTCAGGGGTGCAGCATGGACCAATCAAGCTCTCTAAACCCTGAGTTTAATAAGCCAATCAGGAGTGTATAATTTCAATCTCTTATTTACATTATTAAAGAGGACAGGTCTCACCCAGTGATTCTGACTTATCTTTTAGAAAGGGGAAGCATTTTGGGTAGGGGTCTGCTCGTGGTCAGTCGTAGCGAGGGATAAGGGCAAGGGTAACTAAGGAAGGGCAGAGACAAGCATTCTATCGCAGAAGAAGGCATGGTGGGTAACCCTTCCCTCTCCCCTCCTGTCCTTCTCCCAAGGCCTTATCCTATCTGCCTGAGGGAGATCTACCTTCCTACCTCAGAAGTAACTCCTGAAGGCTCTACCTGCAGACCAGTGCTGCTCGGCCTGGCTGCACACTGGAATTCTGGTTGCTTTCCCAGCACCAACGCTGGGTCTGCCCCACAGAAACTCTGATTTAACTGGTCTGGAGACAGCCCAGGCAGTGGGGAGTTCGGGCAGCTCCAGGTTACCCCAATGTGCTACCAGTGCTGAGACCCACTGCCCCCGCATCTCTGGCTACATGGATCGGGTGCTTGCCTTACTCATGTGTTTGCTGTCACCTTTCCAGGTGGAAACACAGGAACTGGGGACACTTCTCTGGGCTGACTTACAAGCTCAGAGTGCAGGCAACTGGGGTCCTTCTGGATCTAGTGGAGGGCTGCACTTACCATACCTGGCGGTGGGGTTGGCTGTGTTTAGCCCCCTCTCTGACCTTTTTCCTCTTTGGCCTCCTGGGAACAATTCCTGTGTCTGACCTCCTGGGGTTGCTTCGGGGATCCAGGGTGAGGATGTCTGTGGATGGAGGGTGGGAGGACTGCACCCTGATAGTCTTCAGTATTTGTTAACAACACACCCTCCACTCTTTCCCAGCTCTTTTTCCAGCAATCTCGTTACCTGAGTGCATGGCCAGGGTTGGGGTGAAGGAACTGAGAGGTGGGGCCACACCCCCAAGATGGGTGGCAGGGCCACCTTCCTTGTCCTTATAGATTTAGCACACTGCCATGGACTCGCATCCTCTGTGCCCTGAACAAAAGCCATTGGTCAGGCAGGGGCGGGGATTGTGGTCATTGAGTTATCCCAGGAGCAACAGCGTGCCTGGGAGGTGCACACGAATGAGCAAAGCAAGGATCAGGGGTGAGGTACCCCCCTGAAGTTCCCACAGCCAAGAAGTGGTGGGGCTGGAGGCAGGAGCCCGGTTGGGTGGAATCCCTTGAAAGATAGGGACAGGACCAAGATCCATTCAGAGGGGGATGGGGGCCAGGGTCCCATCCTGGCAGGGGTCAGAGGCTCCCCAATGATCCCCCAGGACCCAACCTCCCACTGTGCCCCCTCTCCCCCTCCAGCTTGCTACATCTCGGCCTTGGTCTTATCTTGCACACTCACCTTCCTGCTCCTGATCCGCTCGCTGACAACTCACAGGTTGGTGGCAGCTCTGACTAACCCTGTGCAGAAGTGGGAAAGGGCCAGAGACCCAAGCAGGTGTGTGTGGAAGCCCTGGGGCTGCAGGGAGGGAAGACCCTGGAGACTGCATGGTAGTGAGTGGAGAGGTGGGCCCTGGGACTGCCTTCTTGAGCGACTGTCTGGTTGGGGAAATACCTACAAGGGAAATGGGGCATGACTGAAAGGAGGGGGTACCTCTGAGAAGGGGCCACCCCGGAGAGCTGAATTCAATAGGGAGGCCATCTGGGCATCTGGCATTCTACCTAAGAGTGGAAGAAGAGGTAGGTGGCAAGGGACAGAGAGTGCTACAGGCCAGAGGAACCTCATGAGAGCATGAGAGCTGGGCATGGTGGGGCATGCCTGCAATCCCAGCTGCTTGGGGAGGCTGAGGCAGGAGGATCACAAGTTCAAAGCCAGCCTCAGCAGCAGGGAGCGCTAAGTTAACTCAGTGAGACCCTGACTCTAAAGAAAGTACAAAATAGGGCTGGGGATAGGCTCAGTGCTCGAGTGCCCCTGAGTTCAATCTCTGGTACCCACACCCCAAGTAAGTAGAGAAGTGGGTGCACCTGACAGCATGAAGGGTGGCCTGGCACGGGTAGGGGCCTGGAGGGATTGTTCTGGAATTTGAATGCCAAGCTGCCTAGCTTGCCCTTTTGCGGTGAGCGCTGAAGAGCTTGAGGCATTCTGAGTTCTGGGTGGGAACAGGCCTTGTGGGAAGGGGAGGCAGGAGCTCACCATGGCAGAGAACTGGCCCCCGTGCTCTGTGCACTTGACAGCCCTCAGAGACCCTGTCCAGGGCTCTTTCCCACAGGATTGGCCCCTCTGACCCTGGCTTTCAAGGTTCCACAAGAATGCTTGCCCGCATGCTGCCCTGGTGGCCAAGTTGCGTGTCACCTCCATTCTCAAAGTTGGTTCCCACTATCCCGACATGGCTCAGGTTGAACCTCTGCCTGGTTTTGTCTCCTTAGTCACCCTGTAAGGCTCCCAGGATGTCACCTCTTCCAGGAAGACCTGCCAGCTTGAGTTAGTGGCCTCAGGGCTCTGAGGGTCCTTGCTGAGGGTTTTAATTAGGCTAGGGGTTTGGCCAGAGAGTGCCCAGGGGCACCTGGGAGTGTCTTCCTCCCTGAGGGTGCTGCCCCCCTTGCTCACACCCCAGGGCCAACCTTCAAGCTTTGCACAGAGGGGCTGCCTTGGACCTGGGCCCCCCACTCCAGAGCACTCGACCATCCCACGAGGCCATATTCTGTTGGATGAGCTTCAGCGCCTACCACACTGCCTTTACCTGCTTCGGTGAGCCCCCTTCCCCTCCCCCAGCCCAGACCTTGGTCCCTGTGGTGGTGAAGGGAAGCATGCTCCAGAGTAAGGGCATCAAGGAGCACTGGGAGAAGGGTACCCTTCGCATGAAGACTAACCCTGGGTGCCACCAGGTGTTTACATGCAGGTGTATACCCAGGTCTGGAGGTGGCAAGTTCAAGGTGGCACATTGCGGCTCCTGTAAGGGAGGGTTGTGCTGCACTGGGCTGCCTTGGAAGGTAAGGGGAGCCTGTCACCACAAGGATGAAAGCAGGATTCCATGGATACTGTTGGGGATGGCAAAGGGGTTCCTGCAGCTGGTAAAGCATCCTGAAATTATGGGGCTGGGACCAAAGCTGTAAATCCAAGGTTACATTGGTTCTCCCCACCCTTGGGGGAGGAGAAAGACGTTGATAAAGGAGAGGAATTACTGGGATGAAAAGTCATGATTTCTGCCAAGTCTTTTTTTTTTTTCCTTCCTTTTTCCAACTGAAGATTGAACCCCAGGGTGCTCTACTACTGAGAGACATCACAGTTCTTTTTATTTTATTTTTTATTTTGAGACAGTTGAGGCAAGTTGTCCAGGTTGGCCTTGAACTTGTGACCCTCCTGCCTCAGCCTTTGGAGCAGCTGGGGTTACAGGCAAGTGCCACCATGCCTGGCTTGCCAAACCCTTTTGTATGCATTATATCATGTGATCACTTGGTCTGGTTGTTTCCACAGACAACTCTTGGGTACCTACGATACACCAGGCTCTGGCTGGTAGGAATGCAACCCCTGATTTACAGAGGGGTCTTGTCCCCAGGAACTTAGGAGCAAGTAGGGGAAAATGATGCTTGCAAAGCACTTTGGTTTCAAAGAATTGCCACTGATTCAGTCTCTTTGGATCACACAATAGCCCTCTGAGGTAGGGACTACGATCACCATTTTGCAGAGGAAGAAACCACAGCTCAGAGACGTAATGTAACTTGCTCAGGGCAACACAGCTAGGCAGTAGAAGAGCAGGGATTGAAACCAGGTCAGCCCTTGAATCCAAAGCTCTTGGATTCCCGAGGAAGCAGAGGTGCGCCAGTTCCCAGATAACTTGGTATCGGTCCTCTTGTTGTTCCCGATCCCTGCAGGGCTCCTGGTACAGCAGATCGTCTTCTTCCTGGGGACTACAGTCCTTGCCTTCCTGGTGTTTGTGCCTGTGTTGCACGGCAGGAACCTCTTGTTCCTACGATCCCTGGGGTCCTCATGGTGAGTGAGGCAAGGAGTGGAGGGCTCTGGAACCCTTTTGTAGAGGGCTGTTAACAGCAACCACCCTCCCTAATCCACCTGCAGGCCCTTCTGGCTGACTTTGATCCTAGCTGTGACCCTGCAGAACATAGCAGCCCACTGGGTCTTCCTGAAGACTCACCATGGATACCCAGAGCTGACTAACCGGTAAGGTGGTCTCTGAGCTTGTGGTTCCCTAGGGCCCTCAGCCTCTTCTTCAGTGTCTCCTACCCAGTAGGTAAAAGAAAGAACTTGCCTTACCTACAGAGACATTCCAAGATATCTTTCTCTATATCACGTGAGGCATAAATTAGCCCCAGGATCCCTTTTTGTCTGTGGGATCTACACTCCTCCCTGGATCCTCGTTGCCCAGCAAACCCTACATCTTCTCACTTTGCAGGAAAGAGGTTCTGTGTCAAATGGCAGAGTTGTGGGGAAACCTTGACCCCACAAGGGAATTTGAATTAGTGGATAGGAGAATCAGAGGAGGAGACCAGAAGGCACTGGGTTCATGGAAAGACCCAGATAGACATGGACTAAAATCCCAGCCCGCCCAACGAGTAACTAGATAGACTTGAATAAGTCACCAGGTTCTCTGGGCCTCAGTTTCCCTCCTGAAGAAGAGGGTGATACCACCTGTCTTCTAGGGTGGTGGGTTGAGAGGAAAGGCCCAGCATAGAACATGTCACTCAGAAGGCATACTTAACAAACAGTAGGCGCTCAATAAACACAGCTGCTCTGGGCCTCTAGGTGTGACACTGGTCCTGGGAGGGGGCTCTGGGAAGCCTGCCTCAGCCTTTCTCCTCTCTGCCCCAGGCGAGCACTCTACGCAGCCACCTTTCTCCTCTTTCCCATCAACACGCTGATGGGTGGGGTGGTGGCCACCTGGCGAATGTCCCTCTCCGCCCTCTATAACACCGTCCACCTCAGTCAGATGGACCTCAGTCTGCTGTCATCACGAGCTGCCACTCTGGACCCTGGTGAGATCGTTGGGCAGGGGCTGGGGGCCTACACAGTTCAGGAGGGGGTTTGCCCCCCACTTCCCTCCAGCAGATATGTTCATGGAGGATGATCATGACCATGAGCATCATGCATTCTGTGTACTGCTGGGGCTCTGAGGGTATGCAGCGCCTGTGGCATGTTCCATGGGTCCACACGTGTCCGTGTGCAGCGTATGTGCCATGGCCCTGTGTGTCTGCAGGCTTGGACGCATGTGTGTCCTTGTGTGTGTCAGGGGAGTCTAGGTGCCTCTAGTCTGCCACTGGCCCCTCCTGCCAAGCACTGCCATCCCCCTCCCCACCCCAGGCTATTGCACATACAGAAACTTCCTGAAGCTGGAGGCCAGCCAGTCGCATCCTGCTGCGACGGCCTTCTGCGCACTGCTCCTTGCAGCTCGAAGTCCCCGCTTCCAGGCTCCAGTGGACCCCAAGGGAAATCTCAGAACTGGGGAGGAAGAAGAAGGTGCGCTCTCCCACTGGGGATGGGAGCCCAGCCTGCCCAGCTCAGCATGTCCCTGCCAGCATAGTGAGCACCAGGAAAATTGTCACCTCCCCTCTCTCTTGGCTGCCTGAGATCCCCCATCCTGGTCCAGTCTCATGATAATTTTTTCCCATGATACAAATGTACACACACACACACACACACACACACACACCCCTTCTCTGTGCACACAGAGAAGGAAATGGCTGCCTTGCTAAGGGACTCTGTTGTGCCCCACCCCATTACCTCCTATCTCTCCCCAAAGTGTGAGGCCTTTCCTTCCCTACTGCCCAGGAAGTGTGTAATAGGAGGGAACACTAAGCCAGCTCTGTGCCCTTGTGTTGGCCTTGCCTCTGGTCCCTCCACTGACCTCAGCTCTACCTGCGGAGGCACATCCTGAACCTTCACCCTCCCCCAAGCCCAGCTTCTTCTGATTTCCCTCTCTGAGCTGGCAGCTGGAACCCCAGGCTCAACACCTTACTATACACAGGATTTGCAGACTCTCTGGGATATGCAGTCTGGGGCCTGGGGACACTTGGCTGAGGGAGTTATTCACAGAAGGTTTCTCTCCCTCTCAGGGTTGCAGTTGCTCCAGACAAAGGACCCTATGGCCAAGGAAACGGGGCCTAGAACCAGCCGGAACAGGGCCCGCTGGGGTCTGGCCTACACGCTACTGAACAACCCAGCCCTGCAGGCCTTCCGGAAGACAGCTCTCTCAGGTGCCCAGGCCAATGGTGCTCAGGCCTGAGGTCAAGGAAGGCAGCCCGCTTGCCCTGTGTGTTGAGGCACGTGCCCATCTACCCTCCTCCCCCGTTCTCTGCACACCACCCCAACCATGGCAGCCCCTCCCCTTAGCAGCAGCTTAGCCAGCAGGTTCTTGGGATCAAGGTCCCAGTGACTAGCTGAGGCCTGGGGTCACTGAGGTTGAATGAAGGTTTGTTCCTCCTATGAGCCTTGGAAGGACTGTCATCTGCCCCTTTGGTCTTGGGAATTGCAGAGAGGACTCTGGAGAAAGCAACTGGGGTGGGGGTGAGGGTTAGGGTTGGTCCAGGAGCCAGTGGAGCAGGGTGACCACATCCAAGCCCCTCCCCACCCTGGCTCTGCCACCAACCTTGCAGGGCCTCACTGAGGCCTCTTCTGAACAGGCTCCGTGATTCAGGGCCAGGAAAGCCCTGCATTCCAGCTCAGCCCCACCTCACCCCTCCCTGGTTGCCAGAGCGCTCCCTCTCTCCCAGCTCCCCCCTCTCCTCTCCTCCGGGAGTGACTAGAAGGTTCCCCAGCTGTGGGGCCTGCAAGGAAGCCCATGAGGGCTCCTGACTGGCGGTGAAGTCACAGCTCTGGCCCCACCCTGAGCTGCCTACTCCTGAGAGCCAGATATTTTTGTAGTTTTTATGCCTTTAGCTGTTATGAAAGAGGTTAGTGTGTTCCTGGTAATAAACTTGTCCCTGAGAAACAGCCCTCCTTATGGGAGAGGGGACGCAGGGGAACCCTGCCCACATTGTCAGTCAATCCACACTGTGTGTCTATGGGGTTTTAATGAGTTGAGGTATCTGGCTATGTGCAGGGTTGGGCTGGGGGTGGGGGTAGAGAGACCCCATAGCTTCATCCCTTTGGGGGATGAAGACTGGACCCTATGATGCCACTCCCAAGCAAGTACATGTTGAACTTCTGAGTCTTAAAGGATGGGGAGGGTTTGTGGGGCAGGAAGGGCTTCAAGAATGATGGAGAAGCAGGATGAACAAGGGCATGGGGGTGGGACAGGGGTGCCGTGCTGTGGGGTGATGGGTAGACCAAGCATGCAGAGCAGAAGGGTATCGAGACCAACTGGGGACCCTTCCCTGCCGGGGCTTGGTGAGATGGAGGATGCTTGAATAAGGGAGATGCCCTGGGTGTGGTCCACCATGGGCTGGGGGCTACAGGGATAGTATGGCCACTGCACAGACCTGGGGCATCAGGCCTCAACAAGTGTCTGTGGTCTGTGCAATTAGACTGGCAACCTCCCACCCCACACCTGTTCCTGCCCCCACCATGCTTCAAACTCACAAAGCTGAGGTGGGGCTGGGGAGCTCCAAACCACTTTCCAGGCTGCCCAGAGAGGCCAAAGAGGGCACGTGCTGATCCCTGGAAAATGCCTTCCTGGTCCTCTGTTCGCCATGGACAGAGTCACAGAGATAAGGACTCAGATTTAGCCTTTGCTCTTAATGAGGAGACAGAGTCACAATGGACTGTGATCAGCCGGGGCTGTGAGCAAAGAAGGGGGCTACTGCACACTGGGGACAGGAGGCATCCTGGCAGGCTTCCTGGAGGTGCCCAAGCTGCATCCTAAAGTATGGCTTAGCCAAATGAAGAACAGGGAAACAGTGCACAGGCTGGCGACAGTACAAGTAAAGGTGCAGAGGCTGGTAATTCAGGCTTCCTCCAGGGTAGTGGGAGCCATGGAAGACTTTAAAGCAGGGGAGTAGCACTTGGCACAATTGTTCCCAGGCTTCCCTGACTCAGGATGTACATCCACCTCCTGTTTCAAGAAGCCAAGCCCACTCAGCTATGAAAGGAATCAGAGATGGCAGGGTCCAAGTGCAGTTAGGATGGTCAAGCCTTAGATAACTAGTCCATTGAGCCCAGAAGCAGTATCTGCTTTACCCTTTCAGTTCTACCTGTCATTTGATTTCTGAGGCAACTGAAGCCCAGAGATGGGCAATGACTTACCCAAGGTGGCACTGCACATCGGATCTGGCTCCATCCTGCTGCTTTCCACCAGACATGGCTGCCTGCTGGAGACGTCAGCTCAGTCAGAGCTGCAAGCTAATGGAGGACAAGGGAAGAGGGGGTGGCCCCGAATGTAGACCAGGAGGCAGGGGAGGGGCTGGCCAACTGCCAGGGCTTACAGCTGCTACCCCAGACCCCTCGGCCTCCTCCACTTTGCTGAGCTCAGCAGTCCTGGGAGCTCTGAGCAGAGGCTGCAGAGCCTCCCCCTCTGGGTCATTGTCCCTGTGCACAGTGTCCTCATTCTTGAAAGTGACAGAATGGAGACCATAGGGAGACATCCCTGACCTGGTGCAGATATGAGGTTCTGCTGAGTGTCCAGGGTCCACACCCACATTTCCCCATTCTGAGACCCCATCAGTTGTAACCAGTCCCCACCCCCATCCCACCCTAAGTCAGTTACTGACACATCGACTCGGAGGGGAGAATTTCCTACAGAGACCTCTGGGAACGCTATCTCCTCTTCCTGGAAAGGGGGAAGGCAAGCCCCATTCATTTTCTCTGGCTCCCTTTCCAGTCTGTTCTGTTCTCAGTCTCTCTAGGGTTTTCTCTCTCTCTTGTCCTCTTGTCCTCTGCCTCCTCCCTTCTTGTCTCTCCTCCTTCTTGCCCCTCATGTCCCCCCTTTCCACTTTGCTTCTAATATTTCTTCCAGAAAGCAGGACAGGGAAGTGGAGCCACAACCCAGGCCCTCCCATTGTCTAGTTTCTTTCCAAAATGCCTCAGTTCACTTCTGGTGTAAAGCACTGCTCAGGGTCACTAGTGACCCCAGGAAAGTCTCTCTAATGATTGTCAGGCTCCCACCCTGATTTGTCCTGTGGGCTAGTTTGTAGACAAGGAACATCTGCACCCAGCTCAAGCCAAGGCCCTGCCCCCTCTCACCGCTGGGCCACCCCTAACCATGCTGCCTGCCACGCAGTTCATGTTATGTCCCATAGACCCATGTCCTATGTGGGCACATCAATGTGGCTATCCTGAGTCTGTGACTCCTGATCCTAACCCCCAGGAGGGACTCTTAGATCCAGACAAAACTCCAGGCAGACACAGGGGAGCATCAGAAATGCTATTTATTTCTCTGCCACCCCCAGGCTGGCTGGCCTCTTAGGAGGGGCAGGCTATAGATGCGTACTTGGAGGAAAAACAAGGGTGGGTGTCTGGGCAGAGGGCTCAGGCTGAGAGGAAGGGTGAGAGGACAGGGAGGCCCAGCCTGTATCCCCCATCCTGTTGCAGTGAGAGCAGAAATACTCTTGATATCCCGCCCCGACACGCACACACAAGGTCAGAGAACACCTGGGGGCAGAAGGAGCTGCAGCAGGGCACAGAGCCTCTGGCCACCGCCCACATCCTTCACCCTCTCCTGTGCTGCCTGCCCCAGGACACCTCTCAGCCACACCCCCATGCCCACCCCACCTCCCGGGTAGCCCCCACTAGCTTGTCAGTCACAGTGCCTGGAATTCCCAGTCTGGTTAGGGCATCGCGCCTCTAGCTTGCCACCCCTGATAGGGAGGCTCGACGATGCTATTAGCAGCATTTAGCACCACAGACAGTGAGTGCTGGGATCGAGTCCCTCCTTGTCACTAGCTCTGAGCAGGTCTAGAAGTTGGGGTGGTAGGTGTTCCAGAGATATTAGGAGGGGAGGTAGGAAAATGTGGAGTTGCCCAAGCAGGCCTCAAGCTGCCCATCTCCAGACCTCTCGGCACTTATAAGGAAGAAGGGCAGCTTGGGTACAGAAGTTAGGGAGGCCTCTGGGTTGTCCCAGCCCTGCCTGGGTCAGGGCATGGCTAGAAGGAAGCAAGGAAGAAGATGAGGAGGCTCTGGCCCAGCAGGAACAGGCCTGGGAGCTGCTGCCCAGTGGCCCCTTCCCCTGCAGCTGCAGTCTCAGGGCTCCCAGCGCGGCTGAGGTAGATGATGACCACGTTGTCCTCAGGCCCAGATGGCTGCACCTCGTTGTCAACCGTATAGCAGCCCTTGCCTTCCACGGCTTTGCCATGGAACCTGCGCCCCAGTGCATCCTCCCCGCCTTCGCCCGGTGTGGCCAGTGCCACATTCACTGAGCTCTCAGCGCTGCCCAGTTCGTTGGTGGCCAGGCAGCTGTAGGTACCCTCCTCCAGCTTGCCAAAGTCGGGGATGAGCAGGCTGCCATTGGCAAAGGCCTGGAAGCGCGGCCGGCTGCTGGCTGCTGGGGTGCCTGGCAGGGCACGCCCATCAGTGCCCACGTTGGGGCTGGCAATCTCCACAGTGCCGCCCGGTGTCTGGATGTGCCAGTGAAGCTGGGGGGCCGGCTGCCCGTCCACGTCACAGTGGAGTGCCAGCACGAAGCCAGGCCGAAGCTCGGCACCATCCTGGCTTGGCTGGTAGCTGAGCTGCACTGAGGGAGCGGAGCAAGGCAGTGGTGGCAGGCGGCTGAGTGGAGTGCCCTTGAGCACGTGGGGCGAAGTGCAGGCAATGTTGTCCTGCTCCGGGATGGACACAGCCGTGGCCAGGGCCCATGTCTTGAGCCACACAATGCCACAGGTACAGTCAAAGGGGTTGTCGTTGATCTGCAGGTGGGACAGTGCTGTGAGAGGTGTGAAGGTGCCCTCAGCCACCGTGTGTAGGCGGTTGTGGTTGAGCTGCAGCGAGCGCAGCGCACTGAGGCTGCGGAAGGCATCGCGGGGGATGGAGGTCAGCTCATTGCTGTCCATCTTGAGCAACTGGAGGGCACTGAGGTTGTGCAGGTCACTCCAGGCAAAGTCAGAGATGAGGTTGTGACTGAGGTCCAGGCTCTTAAGGTGTCCCAGCGGGGACAGGGCACCGGCAGCCACTGTGCGGATCTCATTGTGCGCCAGCCACAGTGACTGCAGCAGGGGCACCTCCCTGAAGGCCCCCTCTGGCAAGCCCGGCAGCCGGTTAGCTGACAGGCTCAGTGTGGTCACATTGGCTGGGAAGCCAGGTGGCACAGCCTCCAGATCGCGGTAGGCGCAGTCGGCAATCTGGAAGCCGTACTTCTCCCCACAATCACAGGGCTCAGGACAGGACTGCACCAGGCCCAGGAGAACTGCCCAGCAGAGCAGGCGCAGCTCCTGCATGGTAACTCCTGCGGAAAAGGACACATCACCCAGGTGATCCCGAGGACCTGCCCAAGTGACTCGTCCCTCCCAGGACCCCAGCCCAAACTCACCTCCATCCCAAGGCCCTACCCCCACATAACCCAGCTAAAACCCGCCGCCCCCCATTCTTCAGAGGGGGAAACTGAGGCCCAGAGAAAGGCAGGGACTTGCCCGAGGTCACGCAGCCAGGCAGGGTGAAGATAGGACAAAAGAGGACCCCAGCTTCTTCTTCAAACAGAGAGCTCTCCCTGCCTCGGCCTGTCCCTAGCTGACTTTATGACTCGAAATCTGTTTTCCAGCCGCCCCCTCCCCCAGCACTTTACAGAACCGCCCTCCTGCCCTCCCACATCCTGGTTGCAGTCCCTCCCACTGGAGCCCCCCCCATAGGTAAGCTTTGCCCTGGCCTAGACAAGGCTCCTTGTGCAGGGCACCCACCCCCTTACCCCACTCTCTCCCTCCTGCTGCTCTGACCATGACCACAGCAGACACCAGGCCCTTTCTGCAGAATCACACCCATGGCCTGTTCTGCTCAAACTACGCCAGGCAGCTGCCTAAGAAAACCCCTGCCAGGACCTCTCAGCTGACTTGGGCAAGGCCTGTGGCTCCAGCCAAACACGGCTGGGGTTTCTGGGGTCTTGGTTGTTGAAGGAGCAAGATGCTCCCTGGATGGCTCCAAGCACAGGATTGTCCCCAGCACCGGATCCAACAGGGATGTGCCAAGAGGGAACCAGCTCCTGGGTCCAACCGGCCCCCACCTCCACCCACAGGCCCTGAGAGCCCTTCAACTCCCTGACTTACCTTCAAACTACTCTTCCTTAGTCCAGCAGAGCTTCTTCCAAGATGGAACCAAAAAGCAACAAAAGACCAAGTTAGCACGGAGAGTTAGCAAGGCCAGGGCGCCCAGGGGAGGACGAGGACGCTGGAGGAAGGGGCTGCCTGGTCCCACACCACCTTCAATTTGCACGCCTGTGGCCACCCTGCCGGGATGGGGTGCCTGGGAACCGTGCACTGGGATGAGGCTGCAGGGAGGAGCCAGGGCAGCCACTTGCTGCCTCCTTCCCGAAAAACAACTGCCGCGCTGCAACAACAGGGACCCGTGTTTCATAAGTGACACCAGAAACGGGAGGGGGAAAGAGGCCAAATTTTTTTGGGTTGTGTTTTCTCTCTCTCCCTCTCTTTTCCTCTCTCACTTTTAGCAGTTTCAACTTCCTTAAAGACACAGCACTGTCTGGACTGGACCCAAGACAAGATGAGGCCAGAAGAGTTTTTATGGGGTGGGGGGGAGGGTGAGAAATTGGATATCATGGAAAGTGGGAAACTTCTAACCTCACTTCAAACAGGAAAAAAAAAGGAGCGGCTCCTTTCTCCCAGTCAGCTGTCCGGGTGTTTGTGTGTGTTTGCACGTGTGAGCCTGCACAAATTTAGGGGGTTGAGATTGTGTATTACTGAATGTAGATGGATTTGTAGGTGTTAGTGGAGATTCCAGTGTGAAACTCTGTGTGTGTGTGAATTTGTGTTTGGGAAGGTTTGGGGGGAGCGACTGTGTCTTTGTGTGCTGGGACTCTGTGTCGTTGTGGGTGTGACACCCTGGCTCTATCTTGGTGTGTGAGTTTGTGTGTGGAAGTGAGTGTGTACTGATGTGTATGTGGCGGGGGGGGGGGGGGGGGGGGGGGGGGGGGGGGGGGTCGCAGTGAGAAACTGAGAAGGTCACAGTGTGTGAAGCAGCTGCCAGGTCCCAACCCTCAGCAAGAGGCCAGAATGTTAGGCGTGTTTTTAGGAAAACATCCTGCTGGCCGAGGCAGCGTCCACGGGTGGTGCCCAGGGAACTCCCAAGGCTCCAATCCCAGCCCCACCCGAGCTGAGTGGGGAGGGACAGGAGGCGGGGGGTGGGACGACAGAAAGCCTGGCTCAGAACTTGGTAACAGAAAGCTGGGGACAGGAACCAGTTGGGCATCAGTGTCCCTGGCTGGGATTCGGGGACACCCAGACTCTTAGAGAGGTTCCATCCAGTACGGCCCACTGGCACACAGGCCTGAGGTGGAGGGTCTCACTCCTGGCAGATTCTCTCTGTGGCCTCAAAGTGCTTGAAATCCACTGTCAGTGCCGGACCTCCATACACTCAGCTTGTCCCCTCTGGGCCCCGCGGTCCCCAAACTGTGTGAAGGGGTATACACACACCTTGGACATTTTTTTCTCAAACAGGAGGGCTCAGGGGAATAGAAATGGAGACATAAAGAGGCCTAAAACAACGTTGCTGGAGGAGAAACCAAAAGATGAGGGAGGCCCGAAAAGAACTTTCTAGACTAGATCAAGCTGCCTGTTTCTTTTGTCTGTTAACTTGCTGAATTCTGCTTGTGGCTGAACTTACCCTCTTGGCAGGACCAGGGACGAACAGGAACCATCTTTGGCTGGAAGCATCTGAGGAGCCCGATTCCAGCTCATCACATCCCTCTCTCACCAAGCAAGGCTGCAGAAGTCCACAGTGTGCTGCCTGCAAACACTGGATTCTGGCGCTGAGAATATGATTGTGGTCTAATTTAGATCCCCCACCCCCCACAGATGAAGCCCCCTCTTGCACCATCCTTACTGTGCTGGAGAGTTTCTGAGGAAGTCCTGAATTGGTGAGTCAAGCAGAGGAAGCATACACATCCAGGGGTCAATAAAGCAGGGGGAAAACCAGGGACCGCAGTGTCAGTCAGGGAGGATTTCCTGTTAGAGGGGGCTTCACTGGCTTCTGCACTCTCACTTACACAAAGGACTTGCCACCATCCTCATATCCAGGGACTCTAAGAAGCTTGTAGTCCCCTTGTCTTTCCCCTCCTCTAAAACATCAGGGTTAGACTGAAACCCCACCATCACAATCTGCCAAGCCCTAGTCCCCCCAGTGTGGCTAGTTCCTTCTGGCACATGCATTAAACACCACCTTATCAGAGCAGCCTTCTGAGTCCTCCTAGTCTGAAGGAGGTCTCTGTTAATTGCTCTCACAACCTCCCCTTTTTCTTTATGCACTAAATTGCAATAACTTATTTGTATATGTTTAAAGTGTGACCCCTCTGCTGGGGGGGGGGGGTCTCTTGAGGGCAGATGCCTTGTCTTCCCAGTTGCTATCGATCCCTGGTGCAGAGAAGAGGCTCAATTAACATTTTTTGATTCAATAGATTGGGGGAGTCAGATGATTGGATGCCAGAAAGGAAAGCGCTTTAGGGCTCATCCATTCGTGCATCCTCCATCTGGCATAGATGGGGACTCCAGGCCTAGACCCAGGGAAAGGATGTGCCTAAAATCATGCAGAGAAGATTGTATATGGCATAGAAGACCCATAGTCAGTTGGGTGGGTGAGTGAGTCATCAGCATTCCTGGGGTCTGGGAACTCTGGACCCTCTAACTCTCCATCACTGAAGCCTTTGACAGTAGCCAAACACCAGGCTGTTCTCAGAATCCCACATCAGAACAACCCCCTGGGGGGTTGAGGGCCAAAGCAAGAGGAACCAGCCCACTTAGGCAGAAGTGAGAATGTGTGTGTCAGTCAGTGGTCTACCCAGGTCCTAATGCTGCCAGCAGGGTGCAGTCTGTCCCACCACCATAAGGAAGGAGACAGTCAGACAAGGGCCACCAGGGCTGAGCGGATTTTACCTAAGGACTATCTGACTCTCCACAGTGTTTCACAATGGGACATGTAGGCCCACCCTGGGCAGAGCTCAAGGAGCCATTGTATGCCCTTTCATCGGGTACTTATAACCTCCTGAGCTGTCCCTCTCCTCCTTGCTGTCCCAAGCTGAAGTTCTTCCTGCAAAACCCACCCCACAAGATATAACAGTGCACTAGGAGGCCAGCCAGGAGCCCAGCTCCCCATCCGCTTCCCAGCCTGGAGCTCCCTGCATGTACCTGGGCCACCATGGTTCAAGCCTGGAGGTAGGGGGGCCCTCAGTGGGTATGTGGCACCTTGACTGTCCCCAGATCACTGATGGCAACCCAGCTGACCTTATTCCAGGCTCAGGACTGGAGAGCTCTTCTCAGACCCTCTCAAATCCTTCGGCCATCCTGAGTCTCAGCAACCCTACAGCAGAGAAAAAGAGAATTGAGGTCCCTGAAGAGGGAAGCAAGGGCCCAGATTTGGGAGCCCTCACTGCCAGTCCAGGCCTCAGCTCCAGGGATTCTTAGACAGTGTGTAGAGTGACCAACCAACTGCTCTGACTTTCCTGGAACTGATGGGTTTCCTGGGACACACAATTTGCAGAGCTAACATCTGGACATTCTCAGGCAAACCAAGACAATTGGTCACTGTCACAGGGACTTCCTCCATGTTTTTTCCACCACTCCCTCCCTCTCCTGCTTTGCAGAGACTCAGCCCTCTCTCCGGCTCCTCCCACATCCTCTCCCCTTGGGTCCTGCTATCTCCAAACAAGGTGGCCAGTCCCACCCCAGCAGCAACTGCTTAGCCTGGACACTCCTACCGCAGAGAGGCCCTGGGCTGCCGTGGCATAGCACCATGTCAACTTTTCCTAGATGGCAAAAAAAAAAAAAAAAAAAAAAAAAAAATCCTGAAAGAAAATGGAGAGAGAGGGGTGGAGCCCAGCAGAAAGAGAGAGAACTGGAGAGAGACAGACGGAGTAGTGGGAAAGAGACCTGGAGGAAGGAAGGGGGTGGGAGGGGATGGAGTCACAGCCAGTCAGGGTAGATCCAGGTCAGAGAAGGGAAGATTTAAAGGAGGCAAGGCCCAGAAACAGACAAAGGGCCACAGACCCTGGAACAGATGGAGGGGTGCTGCTGTACCTTGAGCTCAGCCATGGTTGTGGGACTAGAGTCATCCTGACAGAGGGGCACATTGGCCTCAGTCCCTAGCCCACATGCTTGACAGTTTGTTGGCATAATTGAGAGGAAACTCAGCTCACTTCTGGTGGGACTTGATTAAGCCTGTGGGTCTCTAGGGACTGGCTGGCCTGGAACCTTGAGAAGATGGGACTATAGAAGGAACCCTGGGCTGGTATGTGTGAGTACTGCGTACCTGTGCACACATGGAGGGGACAGATGGAGATCTGCCTAGACCACCAAATGAGGTTTCCATTCTCTGGGCCTCAGTTTCTCTGTTATATGTAGGAGTTGTTCTAAAGTCCTCCAGCCTTGATATTTTGCCATGCTAGGATTTCTCATGAATGTCTGCATTTACATAAGGAGTTCTGTGCACGTGTTCATGTGTCCTTGTTTCTCTGTGCGTGGACGGGAAAGGCAAGCCTATGCTTCCTCTCCACCTGTGCTTGCTGGTGTGTGCACC